ACATCAAAATTCAGGTTAACTAACCGGCCTTTCCCAGTCCCTGGGGCCCTTTGAATCTTTGACAGGGGATACCCCCTAAGATCCTTAACCCATCCCCAGTAAAAGATGGTTCAGGTTCCCGGAAATGGAGGACAAATGAATGCTTGAAATATGCCCCACGCACTTGGCACCACTTGGTGGTGCCACTACAGCCCCATTTTGAAGGTGGGAAATGATAGCCCTAGGACCCCTCTACTTTGCCCCAATAATCATTTGATGAACACTTAAAAGATAAGGCGTATAATAGCTGGCCTTTTCCCGTTTCACAATATACAATGTTTAAAAAACATCAAAGTTCAGGTTAGCTAACCGGCCTTTCCCAGCCCCTGGGGCCCTTTGAATCTTTGACAGGGGATACCCCCTAAGACCCTTAACCCATCCCCAGTGAAAGATGGTTCAGGTTCCCGGAAATGGAGGACAAATGAATGCTTGAAATATGCCCCACGCACTTGGCACCACTTGGTGGTGCCACTACAGCCCCATTTTGAAGGTGGGAAATGATAGCCCTAGGACCCCTCTACTTTGCCCCAATAATCATTTCATGAACACTTCAAAGATAAGGCGTATAATAGCTGGCCTTTTCCCGTTTCACAATATACAATGTTTAAAAAACATCAAAATTCAGGTTAGCTAACCGGCCTTTCACAGTCCCTGGGGCCCTTTGAATCTTTGACAGGGGATACCCCCTAAGACCCTTAACCCATCCCCTGTGAAAGATGGTTCAGGTTCCCAGAAATGGAGGACAAATGAATGCTTGAAATATGCCCCACGCACTTGGCACCACTTGGTGGTGCCACTACAGCCCCATTTTGAAGGTGGGAAATGATAGCCCTAGGACCCCTCTACTTTGCCCCAATAATCATTTGATGAACACTTCAAAGATAAGGCGTATAACAGCTGGCCTTTTCCCGTTTCACAATATACAATGATAAAAAACATCAAAGTTCAGGTTAGCTAACCGGCCTTTCCCAGCCCCTGGGGCCCTTTGAAACTTTGGGATGGGATACCCCCTAAGACCCTTAACCCATCCCCAGTGAAAGATGGTTCAGGTTCCCGGAAATGGAGGACAAATGAATGCTTGAAATATGCCCCACGCACTTGGCGCCACTTGGTGGTGCCACTACAGCCCCATTTTGAAGGTGGGAAATGATAGCCCTAGGACCCCTCTACTTTGCCCCAATAATCATTTGATGAACACTTCAAAGATAAGGCGTATAATAGCTGGCCTTTTCCCGTTTCACAATATGCAATGTTTAAAAAACATCAAAGTTCAGGTTAGCTAACCGGCCTTTCCCAGCCCCTGGGGCCCTTGAATCTTTGACAGGGGATACCCCCTAAGACCCTTAACCCATCCCCAGTGAAAGATGGTTCAGGTTCCCGGAAATGGAGGACAAATGAATGCTTGAAATATGCCCATGCACTTGGCACCACTTGGTGGTGTCACTACAGCTCCATTTTGAAGGTGGGAAATGATAGCCCTAGGACCCCTCTACTTTGCCCCAATAATCATTTGATGAACACTTCAAAGATAAGGCGTATAATAGCTGGCCTTTTCCCGTTTCACAATATACAATGTTTAAAAAACATCAAAGTTCAGGTTAGCTAACCGGCCTTTCCCAGCCCCTGGGGCCCTTTGAATCTCTGACAGGGGATACCCCCTAAGACCCTTAACCCATCCCCAGTGAAAGATGGTTCAGGTTCCCGGAAATGGAGGACAAATGAATGCTTGAAATATGCCCCACGCACTTGGCACCACTTGGTGGTGCCACTACAGCCCCATTTTGAAGGTGGGAAATGATAGCCCTAGGACCCCTCTACTTTGCCCCAATAATCATTTGATGAACACTTCAAAGATAAGGCGTATAATAGCTGGCCTTTTCCCGTTTCACAATATACAATGTTTAAAAAACATCAAAATTCAGGTTAGCTAACCGGCCTTTCACAGTCCCTGGGGCCCTTTGAATCTTTGACAGGGGATACCCCCTAAGACCCTTAACCCATCCCCAGTGAAAGATGGTTCAGGTTCTCGATAATGGAGGACAAATGAATGCTTGAAATATGCCCCACGCACTTGGCACCACTTGGTGGTGCCACTACAGCCCCATTTTGAAGGTGGGAAATGATAGCCCTAGGACCCCTCTACTTTGCCCCAATAATCATTTGATGAACACTTCAAAGATAAGGCGTATAATAGCTGGCCTTTTCCCGTTTCACAATATACAATGTTTAAAAAACATCAAAATTCAGGTTAGCTAACCGGCCTTTCCCAGCCCCTGGGGCCCTTCGAATCTTTGACAGGGGATACCCCCTAAGACCCTTAACCCATCCCCAGTGAAAGATGGTTCAGGTTCTCGATAATGGAGGACAAATGAATGCTTGAAATATGCCCCACGCACTTGGCACCACTTGGTGGTGCCACTACAGCCCCATTTTGAAGGTGGGAAATGATAGCCCTAGGACCCCTCTACTTTGCCCCAATAATCATTTGATGAACACTTCAAAGATAAGGCGTATAATAGCTGGCCTTTTCCCGTTTCACAATATACAATGATAAAAAACATCAAAGTTCAGGTTAGCTAACCGGCCTTTCCCAGCCCCTGGGGCCCTTTGAAACTTTGGGATGGGATACCCCCTAAGACCCTTAACCCATCCCCAGTGAAAGATGGTTCAGGTTCCCGGAAATGGAGGACAAATGAATGCTTGAAATATGCCCCACGCACTTGGCACCACTTGGTGGTGCCACTACAGCCCCATTTTGAAGGTGGGAAATGATAGCCCTAGGACCCCGCTACTTTGCCCCAATAATCATTTGATGAACACTTCAAAGATAAGGCGTATAATAGCTGGCCTTTTCCCGTTTCACAATATGCAATGTTTAAAAAACATCAAATTTCAGGTTAGCTAACCGGCCTTTCCCAGCCCCTGGGGCCCTTTGAATCTTTGACAGGGGATACCCCCTAAGACCCTTAACCCATCCCCAGTGAAAGATGGTTCAGGTTCTCGATAATGGAGGACAAATGAATGCTTGAAATATGCCCCACGCACTTGGCACCACTTGGTGGTGCCACTACAGCCCCATTTTGAAGGTGGGAAATGATAGCCCTAGGACCCCTCTACTTTGCCCCAATAATCATTTGATGAACACTTCAAAGATAAGGCGTATAATAGCTGGCCTTTTCCCGTTTCACAATATACAATGTTTAAAAAACATCAAAATTCAGGTTAGCTAACCGGCCTTTCACAGTCCCTGGGGCCCTTTGAATCTTTGACAGGGGATACCCCCTAAGATCCTTAACCCATCCCCAGTGAAAGATGGTTCAGGTTCCCGGAAATGGAGGACAAATGAATGCTTGAGATATGCCCCACGCACTTGGCACCACTTGGAAGTTTTTGAAGGTTGGAAATGATAGCCCTGGGGCCCCTCTCTAATGGTTTTTCGGGATATAATGTAAAATCCAGGTTAGCCTACTAGCCCTTGCGGTCCCTGGGACCCTCTGTATGGTTGACAAGGGATACTTCCTTAGGCCCTTAATTCATCTGCAGTGATTAGTTTTTTTTCAAGTGGCTAATAATTGATGACAACTAGTTGCTTGAAATATACTCTACGCACTTTGCACCACCTGGTGGTACCACTACAGTCCCGTTCTGATAGCAGGAAACAAAAGGGCCTTTCTACCTTGCACTATTTACGATATGGTAGGCACTTTATAAATCATGGGTATTATACCTGCCTGTAATATTAAAAATGCTCTTGGAACCACTTGGTGGCACCTCAACCACTTCTTATTACTGATAACGGTTATTAATAGTCTTATAGACCCATAAAGTTGCCCGGGTAATAATGTTCTAAACATACTTCAACGTAGTTTACACCTGTGTAATATTTCAGTTTACAATCGATAGAGTAAACAACTTTCAGGTTAGCTTTTTGGCCCTGTCATATTCTTGAGTTATCTTGAAAGAGCTGAAAAGGTATTCTTCTTGAAGTAATGAACCAATTCTTAGTGCTTGTTTGATCAAGTGGACTAAGATGTTTGGGTAATTTATTATACCCCCCGCTTGAAAAGTGGGAGGGTATATAGTAATCGGTATTTCCGTCCGTCCGTCCGTCTGTTACGCTTTGGGGTACCCATCTCTTATCCGCAACTCCTCTCATACCACTGAAGGAAATTTAATGAAACTTTCACAGAATCTTCATTACATATTGCCATTGTGCACCTCCTATTTTACTTTTTGATCTAAAATATATTTTGGATTTTCCAGAGCAAAACATGGACACTGCCATTATATTCATATGGGAGGCGGGGGGTATCATTTAGTGATCTCATTGCTCACAGTACCTCTAGTTTCTATTTTTTTCAGTTTCAAGAAAGCACATGTTTTCTTCAGGTGAGCCTTACTGCCTCCGAGTGTCTTATTTATTATGTTATTAATTTTCGCATTAATTATTCAATCATTAGCCCTTAATTATCTAAAATAAAGCATTAAAAACAGTACTGTCTCTCAGTACTTTCAGTTCTTTGATGAATTTCCTTATTGGCTGCTAGCTTCTACGGGCTTAGTGGCTGCTGTTATTGGCTGCTAGCTTCAGCCTGGTGCTCCTTGTGTAAGTTGTACATGTTTTATTCCTAAAAGCTTCAAATTTCTCAAGGGACTACATCATACTATTATTACATGTAGAGGGAATTAAAATTTTTTCAATGCACATTTTTAAAGCAGCTCAATATTAAGTAAACCGTCAGTCAAACGTTTTGATTGCAAAAAAAACTATCCTCTGCCACCTTATCACTAAGAATGGAGGCGTACAAGGCGAGGACAATCCCCCGCTCTGAAAAAAACATTTCTCAAACATGAAGATCAAGATCCCCCTCCTTCCAAGGAAAATAACATTGTTTTAAGCGAGACTGACATCAATTTTGGTAAAGCCTAAACTTTGAGTAAAATTTAAAAACTGGACTTACATGTACTTTAGATCCTCCTTTTGAAATCTCTGCCGATGTCTCTTTCTCTAACTGTTCATTCCTGGTAACCTTGGCTTTGTCTTTACCGTTTTTTTTCTTGCCCCAACAACAAGCTTCTACGTGTATAGGCGATGAGCACCATTCCAAAGAAACCAGCAGCAGCAACACAGCGATAAACACAACTGTAGACTGATTAAATTGCGATTTATTTACAGATTGTAAGTTTTTTTTAATCTATGTAAATCATTTATTTAGAAGATGGAGATCGAGGAGAACAGAACAAACTGCTTAAATTAATATCTTTTTCATATCAAAGAACGATAACGTTTTTTAACTTTTTATGCCTCCGTAAACGAAGTTTTGGGGGTATGTAGTTTTTGTTGTGTCCGTCTGTCTGTCTGTCTCTCTGTCCGCAAAAGCTCTGACCTTGTCCATAACTTTTGATTTGGTGGAGCTGTGACTTTTATATTTCACATGTATATTCCTTGTGACAAGACCTTCCTTTGGGTACCACCAAATTTGACCTTGACCTTGGAATTCGACCCACTTTTACACAAAAAATTCAGGGTTTTACTTTGGCCATAACTTTTGAACAGTAGATACCAGGACATTCATACTTCAAATATATATTCTTTGTGGCAAGACCTTTTACTGGATACCACCAACCTTGACCTTTCGACCTTGACAATTTACGTACTAATGAAAAAACTTTAACCTTGGCAATAACTTTTGAACGGTAAGGACTAGAGCTTTCATAAGTCACATATGTAATCCTTGAAAGCAGACGCTTTATTGGATACCAAGAGCTTAAATTGACCTTTTGACCTTGGAGTTTGACCTACCTTCAAAAAATAAACCTTGACCATATCTTTTAAAGGGTGAGAGCTAGTGCTTCATACTTTACATATTTAATTCTTGTGACAAGACCTTTCATTTGATTTTGAGATCTTTGACCTTGACCTTAGAGTTTGACCTTCTTTAAAAAAATCAAAACCTTGTCCATAACTTTTGAACGGTTAAGACTAGAGCTTCCATACTTCACATACAGTATGTATTCTTTGTAGCAAGAGCATTTATTGCATACTAATAACTTTGACCTTGACCTTGGAGATTTCTGGACTTATGAAAAAACATTAACCTTTGCAATAACTTTTCAAGAGTACATTGTAAGGGCTAGGGCTTTCATACTTCACATATGTAATTCTTGTGACAAGACCTTTCATTCAATACTAATAACCTTGACCTTCTGACCTTGATCTTGGAGTTTTACGTACTATAAATTTCTTTTTAACCTCTGCCATAACTTTTGAATGGTTAGGGATAGGGCCTCCATACTTCAAATATGTGATTTATAAACCGCGATTTTATTATTTGAAGGATGCAGCTTATTTTAACCTCTATTTTATGAAACCTTTGTTGATATATAAAACAACTTGGGGGCAATCGACGCTTTATAAACCGCGATGTACCTCTCCCCCTCTCCGATACCCTTGACCCAGGGGGCATGAAATTAACCATTTTTCTAGATGCATCTTTCTTCCTCATAAATATACCTATATACTAACTTGGATCATTAGCATAATATCCAGGAGCAAAGGAAAAGATTTTCGAAGAATTAAGGTATTTTCACTACATAATCAAAAGACCCCCCCCCCCCTCCTTACACAGAATGACAAAATCCCTGATACAGGGGCCATGAAATTCACAAGGGACAAGATAGGGTAACGGCCGAATCTGGCCCCTTATTTAATGTAAAAATCAAATCAGAACACTGATAACACTGGAAAAATTGTAGTTAAGAAGTGAAAATAATTCTTACATTAAAATAAGTACTAATCTTGATACAAAGCTTACATGGAAGTCACTAGAGGGTGCATAAGTAAGACATTTTCCAGAATTTACTCAACACACTGAGCTGTTCCCTGCACCGAGGGAAAAAATGTTCTGGTCTATTGACTGCTCAGGCATTAAATAATTGTTTTATTACCTAATCTTATTTCCGTATTAAGTGTTCACAATTGTATATTCAGAACAGAAGGTTCCGGTACCATATTGTAAATTTATCCGTAGATATGGTGCATCTTTAATATTAATTAAAGATTGATTGTATAGAATATAGTTTAAATTCCTCTCGAAAAATTTTCACTCATATGGAGACACCACCACTTCCCGGTGGAGAGGTACCTTTTTCATACCAGTAGTACATCTACTGCAACACGGGACCTCGGTTGATAGGTCTAACCAGAAGGACCGGCCATTGAAATCAGACAAATTTTAAAACAAATGTCGAAAGATCGAAAAAGATTGTTTACCATGCCTTTGCAGTGTTACAAGCAACTAAATTTGAAACCTACGGTCAATAGAACGTGCAGTCTATTGACCGGGCAGTAGATCGCAGTCAAAAGATCGGTTTGAAACGATAAGAAAAACTGAAAAAACATACAGAAAAGATGAAATATTAAATCTATAATAAAACAAAAAAAGTCACTTGATTAGGTAATAAAACAATATATAGGAACACATGGACATTATGGGACATTATGGGAGGCGGGGGTATCATTTAGTGAGCTCATTGCTCACAGTACCTCTAGTTAAATTACTAGTCTAAACGAAAGGCCAATAGACCTTATAGGTCACATGAGTATCATGTAATGTAATAACCTTCCAACTATTGAAATTAGATTGTGATTAAACCAAGAATGTTTTCTTCGATTACTTAATACTCAGAGGCAAAGTTGAGGAACAAAGAGTGCCCCACCGCACAGGAACCCGGGACACTGGGGTCATATATTTAACAATTTTAAGGTGTTTGGCTTCTGACATTAAAAATAATTGAAAATGATTTTTTTCTTTTTTAATTGTAAGAATAAACATAATAAATTATTTTAAGCCAGAAAAATACATATGAATATGATTTAATTTTCAAGCTATAGGCGTTCCTGACAAAGGGAGGTAATTCTCTCATTTTAGTAAAGAAAAAGACCAAATTTGTGTCCAACATATTTAATATTTATTTTAAACTAAGAAATGTTTTCAAATCATTCCAACCTTTTGCTATCTTTTAAAAGTAGTCATAGAGAATATAAATATTGATAAAATAATAATGATAATTGATAGAAGATAAAATTTAATTCTTATCAAAAAGCACACACCCTCATACAAAAAAATGCCTTTTTTTCCTTTCACAGGGCTTATAAAATGAGCTTGGAAAATAAATTAGAAATAATTAACAAGTATTTTTTTTTCTATATATTTGTTACTTAGATGAAGTGCTTTCAAATGGTGTAAAAAATTGTATATCAATATGAGTTACTTTTAAAGATATTTTAACTTGAATTTCCTCTGACCCATTTTTCTCAAATTTTGACCAGAGGAAATTCGGATTGATTCTGTTTGCCTCTTCCATGATTTTGGGGGATTTTCTATTTGCCTAAATGAATAAGTGTATTGAAAGTCAATCTTTTTCTTTAAAAGAAAAGGGACATTTCATTTTTTTGGGGACTATTTAAGACTTAGGGGAAAGAGGGGAGGGTGGGGGGGGGGGGTTAATATCTATTTTCATGCCCACTCACATTACCTGAGGATAATTCTTTAATAGTTTGACTAATCATGGCTTTGCCTGTTCTGAGTTGAGAGAATTTTACAGACATTTCAAATATTTTTCTATGCATACTTTGCTCCACTTGTGGCCCATCCTTCCCCCAGGAATTATTGAATATAGGGTATGTAATGAAGCTAAATTTCACGTAAATGTCATCTTTTCTTCAGTGGTTCTTCAGAAGATTTTTGAATAATGCCACCAAAATTCTTAATTACCCCCCACTTCAAGAGGGCGAGACACTTCCTATGAACAAAGTTAAATCCCCTTAATTGAAATTGGGCCAGTTGGTCTTTCAAAGAAATAAAATATATCAAACTTTACACACCCCAGACAAAAGACCGATTGCCAGACAATCTTTGATCAGAAAAGCTCACTCGGGCTTCCGTGTCAGGTGAGCTAAAAACCACCACATAGTAATCATTTCACTATAAACGTTTCACAGCAAAATTCCAGTTATTGAAAATGAAGGGAATAAAAAAAAGACTAAATGAATGTTTTGAACTACTAGTTGTACCAATAACAGCTAGTTTAATTTGCGTCATGCAATGTAAATCTCTCTTGATTTCATTGTATCAAACAAAATGTCCTTTATTCAAGATGAAAAATGATCAACTATTTAACTTTATTCAGATCCATGTTCCTTGTGATAGAGATCTATCAAATTGTTACCTTTACAAGTAACATACAACATTTTTATATACTGTAAACATTAGATTTTTTGTGCCTTTGACAGAAAACTGCTGTTGCTATATCAAGAACATCGCCAACTTTATGACCTGCGTATTTATAAGTACACAATAAAAATTTTGCTAGAAATCAAACCTAGCCCGATTGTTGAAAAATAGATTACTGCCAAGTATAGGTCATACACAATATTAAACATTTACAGAATGTCCTTTCATATTCATTTGTGCATGTTTCAATTTAATATGCACATAGTCTTCTTCAATAAATATCAATGAACACCTTTTAATTTTTCATGTATGCTCAAAATATGGGTAATGAAAATAAATTGTTGTCAATTTCTAAATAAGGATTTATTTTGAATGGAAAGAAAATGTTTTGTTCAACTACAAACTACCTATAACAATAAACATTGAAAAAAACAATAGTACATGGCATAATTATACCCCTGCTCTGAAGCACAGGGTTTATACTGTTTTTCTTTCTACACTTGTGTGTCTTTCTGTCAGTAACAAATTTTTGTCCAATTTTTCTCAGCAATCACTCATCATGCTCAATTGCTCATCACAGATGCTTTAAGTTTTAGCACACTCTTTCTTTAGCCATGCCGTATGTTGGAATTGGTTTTAGACGAATCTGATGTCAACTTCCTGATTATCTGTGCATCTGTCTGTAGGCCTACCACAAATAGTAAATTTTTGTCACAGTTTTCTCCAAAACTACTCATCACATTTGGAATTGGTTTTAGACGAATCTGATGTCAAATTCCTGATTATCTGTGCATCTGTCTGTACCACAAATAGTAAATTTTTGTCACAGTTTTCTCCACAACTACTCATCACAGTTGGAATTGGTTTTAGACAAATCTGATGTCAAATTCCTGTTTATCTGTGCATCTGTCTGTACCACAAATACTAAATTTTTGTCACAGTTTTCTCCACAACTACTCATCACAGTTGGAATTGGTTTTAGACGAATCTGATGTCAACTTCCTGTTTATCTGTGCATCTGTCTGTACCACAAATAACAAATTTTTGTCACAGTTTTCTCCACAACTACTCATCACAGTTGGAATTGGTTTTAGACGAATCTGATGTCAACTTCCTGTTTATCTGTGCATCTGTCTGTACCACAAATAATAAATTTTTGTCACAGTTTTCTCCACAACTACTCATCACAGATGCTTGAAATTTTTTAGACATGAAATATGGTTGGATTCATTTTTGTACGAATCCATTGTCAATTAACTTTGTTTATTCCTGTCTGTCCATATTCACATCAGAGTGAGGGTATTACTAGTGAGCACTGGCTCACAGAAATCAAACAAACAAACAAACAAACAACCAAACAAATAATAACATAGTTACATACAAAGAACATCATACAACTGCGTTACTGCTCAGATCTGAGAAAATCTGCAACAGAATCAATGATTTTTCTAGATTTTGTCACACGCACACTGTTATCTGTTATCTCTGTCAGCACATCCTGTATTCCCTCCCTACCATTTCTGCGATAAGCCAGTTGTAAGTGTGATAAGGAGAGTCCACTGCTGGCAATCTTATTTCCCATTCCATTCGAAATCACCTTTTGGTCCAATAAAGGCTTTAGTGTGCTCATTAGACTTTTTGTTGTGTTCTTGTGATGGAATATGGCAAAGGCAGAGTTTGAAGTGAAAGATGCAGCAAGTTTGACTTCAGGGGAAGGTCCTGTATGGTCCAACAATCTCTTCAAGGCTAAGACATCCTGTAATGAGTCATGCGCACTGTATTTGTCTTGTAGAATTTCTTCGAAGAGGTGTAACTGTGAGTATGATGAAAGGTTTGGATGCGAAATTTTGAAAAGAGGTAAGGTATCAATGAAACCAATGACTGCAGATGAGAATGCCTCCAAAATGTTTAATTTACTCAAAATGTTGAACAGCACAGGAAGGTCAAACACTTTGGAGTTGTGTCCAACTAGAACAGCATCTGACTCCGATTTCTTCATGAAGTCGATAAACTGGATCAGTGCATCCTTAATGCTGACTGTCTCAACTTCCTCATCATTGTGGTACATTTTATTGTTGACTACTTTTATTCCAGTAATTTCTGTAGCTTTTGAGGACATTGGTTTTTCTGGAATGATGTATTTGTTGAAAACCTCATCATTTCTAACTGCAGACAACTGCACAATATGAGAATCCCTTGCTAAAAATAAAAAACAAATAATTTAATTTTGATTTTAACGCATCATTTGATTGGATAAAAAATTAATCTAAATTGTATAATCTGGTTTGCTTACGTCACAATGACTTACATCAAATTGTATCAATCCGCTTGACGTTACGTTTAAAATATGAACTATTTGAAGGCGTTATAAAGAGAAAATTTGTCTTGTTTTATATTCTTGATGATTGAAAATTAAATCATAAGGAGTGAATTAAATGGCAACCCAAATTATACTGCTACAACCTGGGTTGGAGCAGTTTACGCTTTTTTATAAACCGCTTTGAGGTTTAGAAAGCGTAAACTGCCCCAACCCAGGTAATACAGTATAATTTGGGTTGCTATTTAATTCATTCCTTAAGTAAATTCAAGTTTTTAAAATTAAAAGCATTAAAAAAAATACATACAAAAATTGATATATTGTAAATGTATTATATTTAGCATGTATGATATTTGGCAGAAATTGACTTTTGAATAAGTAAGCGTAGATTTGATTTAGCGCATTTCTATATTTTCTTCTTTATGTGTATATGTGCAAGACATTTAGCGTTGTACTTGATTTAGCGGTTGCTGCGTTTCGCCAAATCCGCTATTAGAATACACAGCCAAATGTAATCCGTTTACAGTATGCATGATTTAAAAAATTTTGAAACATTATAATAATAGTAACCCTCTTCCCCAAGACTTAACTCCTTCAAAGATGCTTGAATTCTTTCAGAATATGCAATTTCTTTTTAATCAGTGTCCTCAGAAGGAAGGGTAAAGTTTTGAAAGATATAAAACATGCTCAACTACTTGTACCAATACCGGAATTATGCAAGAGTCTCCATTTCTATTCGTTTTCTATGATAACTCTAGTATTATTCCTTCAAAATGCATACAAAAGAAATACCGGAAGAGGGTCATAACCATCAGCATTGACTTAACATTTAAATCTAGGTTCTTACCGAGTCCAGTAGTTTCCAAATCAAAATAGATCTCTTCAGCATTTAACAGCTGACTTGAAGGGAGATGATCATACTTTGGAATTGTTTTTGGAGCTGGAATTTCAACGATGTCAGAGGCCTGCTGGAGATCACATCCTGTTAAATAACTGATGCCTTCCCTTGTTTCTTTTGTAGAAATACTTTGAATTCTGTAAAGAAGATGTATACTGTAAAACAAATGATTCTAAACTGAGGTCTTACAAAAGGCCTAGCAAAATAAACAATCACCTAATGTACAGCTAATAAATTAGGAGTTGTAAATTAATGAAAATCCTGAGCACATCGGCAAGGAAAGAGCACAAAGTAGACCAGAATAGAAAAGTTATGGTACATGTAATTTACTGAAGGGGGGGGGGGGCTTAAATTTTATCACTTCTTAAGAATGCCTCCATATCAATACAGCATATAACTTTTTTAACATTTTGTTCGTATATATTACTTAGTAATAATTTGAATTTGATTCCCCACTGTTTCCCTCCCTACCACAAAGGATCAGGATTTAAACAAATTTAAATCTTCAATACATGAGGATGTTTACATTTGCATATGACTAAACATAGCTTCTCTTTTTTTTCGGGGGGGGGGGGGGGGGGGATTTTTTCCCTTTATTTTCCTATGTAAAACTTTGATCCACCATGTATGATTTGAAAAAAAAAATAATTCTACTTTACCTGAGGATGCTTCCATATTAATATCACCAATCATAGCTATGCTATTCTTGAGAATTTTTTAAAATATATATTGTACTGTAAAATGCAATTGTGGCCCCACCCTATCCCTGGGGGTCATGATTTAAACAATCTAGAATCTACACTACCTGAGGATGATTTCATATCAATATCACTTATCATGGCTTTGCAGTCCTTGAGAAGATTTTTAAAGATTTCAAATTCTCTATATATTCCTGTGTAAAACTTTGATTGGCTATGTGGTCCCACCCTATCCCCCAGGGTCAAGATTTGAACAAACTTGAATCTACACTACCTGAAGATGATTCCATATGAGTTTCATCTTTCCTGGCCCAGTGGATACTAACTTTGTAGCAAGTTTGGTTGAAATTGGCCTAATTGTTCTTGAGAGGAAGATGAAAATGTGAAAAGTTAATGACAACAGATACATTTTTATCAGTAAAGCTCACTTGAGCTTTCCGCTAAGGTGAGCTAAAAAACTGGGTATGTAGGTAGGTAAAATTCTTATTTTAAGATTGCAGCAAAGCAATATGCCCTCCCTTCTTTGAAAAAAATATTTATCAAACCATGCTATTTATAACAAGCATACCGTAAATCTTTGGTGATTCAGAAAACAAATCTTAGTAACATGCAAGATATTAATTCCCACTTAAATTCATACTTATCATCATTCACTTGTTCTTGGTTTATTTTCATTTTTGAGGTTGACAAAAGGTTTTTTACACCTGACAAATGACAATCAAAGTATACTAGTACGTACTTCCTGGCTTTCAATTCTCTCCTTCTCCTTTTAAATTTCTGTGTCACTGAAATGGCCTTCTGTCGCTTTCTTTGTAAATCCCTCAGAATGCACTGTCGTCGAGTATAGTAGCCAGGAGAGAGGCCCAATTTCTTGTTAACCTTTAATAAGGATAAAAGAATCTATTATGTACAACTACAATGTACATACATATACAATACAATCTGCTTTTGATTAAAATTTGCACAATTTTCAAATGTAAGAGATAACTTGAGTGGTTCAACTCAGATATGACACACTAAGCACGAAAAAATAAAAATTTACAAACCTTTACAAGATATCTGTGTCCAACATTTTTCTGGGCTACACATGCAGCAACTCTATATCTGAGGCTTGAAGAAGAGCTGTAATGATGGGTCTTTGGGGCTTTTGCAGACACCATTCTGTGAAAACTCTCATTCGACTGTGTGCTTCCTAAGCATGAAAGACGATCAGAATGACTTGCATATGAACTGAAGACTTCTTTCAGATCATCCTGAAGGAACCTATCTTTCAGGGGTTTTCCATGTGGAAGTGACTTGTACCTCAGGTTAGGGTTGTTAATGAAGTTGCACCACCTTGAGGAGCAGTGTTGGTGATCTCCAAATATGTGTAATGGAATTGATGAAAGGTCTTCTTTGATTTGAGAAGCATTTCCTTTTCCCTGTGCTATGGAGTAACTGAAGCATTTCTGAATGTACTTTATCACAGACAAAGTTAGAGATGAATGTTTTTTCTTCAAGGTAAACAAAGAGTTTGTAAACAGTTTCTTTAGATGATTTTTATCAGACAACTTCTTAATATCAGCATTGACATTAGCTTTCAGTCTTGCAATAGTGGTAGAGTCCTCATCTCCAATGATTCCATCAATGGTTATTCCTTTACTTTTCTGTAGATCTTGGACCATCTCAATAACCATATCTGCCTCCATGGCCTTTGAACTACCCTCCCAATTCTTTGAGCACTCATGGGCTGCTGGATTCTTGTTGGTTGATTCAGCTACACTGCATACTCTGCAATTCTTAGACCTCAGAGAGTATGACAATACTTTGTCGGAGAGAGGACCAACCATGGAACAATGACCTGAAAAATTACAAATTAGAAAAACTGTATAACTTATAGATGTATTCGTTGTTTTTATTAAAGCATTTTTCATGCATTTCTTAACTTAATAAAATGTATGTCTTAATACTTTGGCAAGGAAAATCAAACTCGATCACTGATGTTACATGTATGCATTTGGTAATAACTAGGGATGTCAAAATAGTCAATAAATGATATTCGAATATTCGATAGGAGTATTCGAATATATTCGAATATTCGATAAAATAAATATACCTTGCATTACAAAATATATATCATCACTTTCCAGTTAAGCAGTATAAGTTTTATGCCATTATTTTGGAATAAAAACTCATGTAGACTTTGGTAAATTCACCACAATTTTATATATATTTTTTTAATTTTCGAACATATCAAGAATTTACATCCAAAAATGTTTTTTACCGAATTTAAAATTTTTTTACCGAAAATTCAATGCATTCTTTTCTGTGTTCCAGATTAATTGATCGTCTTACTAAAGTATACTGATAGCTCCTACAAATTCATACCAAGTAGAACAATTATCTAACAGATCTAGGGAAATATTAAAAGCAATTACTTTTTGCTAATTAATTCTCTGATATTGATATTTAATGATTTTTACATAAACAAGGGATCCATGTGTTTACTTAAAACAATACAACAACACAAGCTGATTGTAAGAACTGGACACTATTATACCAATAATTAAGTGAAAAAATGAATAAATTACTCTAATAGATACACTCTTCACACCTTCAGGTACATGTAATTCAAGAGGAGTGTCTCTTAATTTTGTACAAACTTGATTCAATTTCTAATAAAACTTGCCAGGTTTTTCCCTCTTTTAAATGCTTGTTCACTGAAAACGAATATTCGAATCATAAATATGTATTCGAATATCAACTCATCGAATGAATATTCGAATATTCGAATATTCGTTGACATCCCTAGTAATAACCTTTAACCCCTTTAGTCAGCAATGAACCTGTGCGTCCAGTGCACTATAGCATAATTAGGTCAAATATTTATTTTTCATGAGGGGTGCTGTATAATTAATGCAAATCGTTCAACTTTAAAAAAGTAAACAGTTGCTATAAAACGTGTTTGCAGAATGCAATAGGGACCAAATTCCTACTTCTTTGAAGTTAGTGTTCTAAGTATTGACAATGCTTTGGTAAATAATGTTTCTAATAAGTGTCGTTAAAAATTGGTTGCGTGCCATAGAGCGATTAGCGAATACGCTAACTGTGTAAAATCACCTAATATTTTAATATTTTGATTTGACTCATTATGACTCTTAATGATTTTTCTCCTATATATATTCCCGTGTAAACATTATATCCTTTTTTGGCTCCATTATCCCACCTTGGGTCCATATTTCGAACAAAACTGAATATGCTTTACCTGCATGAGCAACATAACTATTCATGGCTGTTCTTTAGAAGAATATTTTACAATTGATATGGACAGTTGAACTTTGAGATATGTGTCTTTCTAAATTTATTGCATCTGTTTGCATACATATTTAATGGAATCAAGCCCTAAGCAAACTTAATGCATAGTTTATGTTGGGCACAAGCGGAAAGTAATCACCCTAATCATCAATATTTTTTTTTATTTTCCTAAAATTTGTCTACTGTAGAAGCATAAATTTTCGTGGGCATAAAATTTTGTTGTTTTGACATCAAAAATAATCTCGTCGTTGTTTTAAAACTAACCCTAGGTCTAAAAAAAATATGTTTGTTTCCTGTAACCCGACCGACCCATTCAAATTACCCCCCGGGTGAATTTTTTTTCTGACAAATGGCAAAACTTTGTTTGATCAATCAGCTGATTCCATTTATTAAAACATAGGTAATCAGAGATTACAGAGCTCACCTCAATGTGTGTTGTCTTTAAGTAAGGCAAATTAAGTCACACAATTAACCAACAAAAAGTGTACATCCAAAAATGCCAAATTTAATATGCATTTTTGATACTTTGGAATAGACCTATATAAAAACTAAAAACTAGTTCTTCATCATGAAAATGCAATTAAAATCCAGCATCTGAAGCAAGATTGAGAGTTTTCATCCCTTCATGCATTATTTAAGCAACTGGTTTATATAAGCTTTATAGTTTCTTGGTGATAGACTTGCACCCATAACTTTTACGAGGTCTATTATCTGGAAAATGTATGTCGAATTCAGCATCTGAAGCAAGTCCATTTGTGTGCATCCTAAGATGTATCATCCATGCAAGTTTGGTCAACATAGGGCTTAAAGTTACTTGCAAATGAAACCTGTATAAAATAATTAACCTTTCCACTAATCCAGAAAATGTAGGTCAGATTCAGCATCCGAAGCCAGCCTAGTAGAATGCACCCTTAGATGTACCATCCATGCAAGTTTGGTCATTATAGGGCTCAAAGTTACTTGAAAATGAATCCTGCACCATAAACTTTAACCTGTTTACTCGTCCAGAAAATGTAGGTCAGATTCAGCATCCGAAGCAAGTCTGGTAGTATGCATCCTAAGATGTACCATCCATGCAATTTAGTCATTATAGGGTTCATAGTACACTGTACCTTGAAAATGAAACCTTCACCAAAAACTTTAACCTGTTCACTCAACCGAAAAATGTAGGTCAGATTCAGCATCCGAAGCAAGCCTGGTAGTATGCATCCTAAGATGTATCATCCATGTAAGTTTGGTCATTATATGTCTCATAGTAACTTGGAAATGAAACCTGCACCAAAAACTTTAACCTGTTCACTCAACTGGAAAATGTAGATCAGATTCAGCATCCGAAGCAAGTCTAGTAGAATACATCCTAAGATGTACCATCCATGCAAGTTTGGTCATCATAGAGCTCAAAGTATCTTCGAAATGAAACGTTCACCAAAAACTTTAACCTGTTCACTCAACCAGAAAATGTAGGTCAGATTCAGCATCCGAAGCAAGGCTGGTAGTATGCATCCTAAGATGTATCATCCATGCAAGTTTGGTCATTATAGGGCTCAAAGTTACTTGAAAATGAATCCTGCACCATAAACTTTAACCTGTTTACTCATTCGGAAAATGTAGGTCAGATTCAGCATCCGAAGTAAGTCCTTAGATGTATTTATCATCCATGCAAGTTTGGTCATCATAGGGCTCAAAGTATCTTCGAAATGAAACCTTCACCAAAAACTTTAACCTGTTCACTCAACCGGAAAATGTAGGTCAGATTCAGCATCCGAAGCAAGGCTGGTAGTATGCATCCTAAGATGTATCATCCATGTAAGTTTGGTCAACATAGGGCTTATAGTTACTCGGAAATGAGACCTACACCAAAAACTGCACCAAAAATGTTAACCTGCACCAAAAACATTAACCTGGTCATTCCTTTGCTGAAATTGCAGCATCTGAAACTTTGACTGGTACAATGAAACACACTAGCAACATCTTCCATGCATGTCTAATCAATATAGGACTTAGAAGTACTTAAAAAGAAAACTGCTCCAAAAAAATTAACCTTAACCCGGGACGCCGACGCCGACGCCGACACCGACGCCGACACCGACGCCGACGCCGACGCCGAGGGTATCACATAAGCTCCCCCCAACTTCGTTGAGGTGAGCTAAAAATGAAAATTAGCTAGTAGCTTAACTTGAGACATAAAATATGTCAACCTAGTTTACATTTAAGTTTGATTAGTTATAAAGAGTAATCATTATTATAACAACAATTTCCCCCTACAACTTTCTGAAGATCGTTTTCTGCCGCTAGGCAGCCATTTTGGATGCCATGTTGGGTGTCCACTGTAAATATGACACCTGGTATATTGAGTCCAGGGATGTTTGACAATTCATAAGAAAAAAAAAATCCCGACCTACCGACCCTTAATTTTTTTGGAATGTTACAGGAAACAAACATATCTTTTTTAAAGCCCTATTCAATATATAGTCATATAAAATTTCGTGTGGGATTTAATTTTGTTGAATTTTGTTAACAGAATAAACAAAATTTAATCCCCCGAATATTTGTGCTTTTACAGTATTTTTACCTGATAAACTATCATATGTCTTTCCGCTACCCCGTTTTTGCCATCCAGCATCTACAGCAACAACTAGTCCATTTTCGTTCATCTCTCTGAAAAATAGTTAAATAACAGACATCAGTTATTAACTGTGAACCTGTCTCCTTTAGAACACCCCCTAATGTGCATAACATTCTGCATATTTATCAACACAAATTATACTGTACATGACTAAACCTTATATTTATCAGTATATCAGATTCTATTAACTTGATCACTATCAATTATTATTAGGTATTCCCTATGATTTTCATTTGGGGATCAAAACTAAAACACGAGGCTCTTGGGGCTTGGGCCACAATACTCTAGGAAGTCACTGTCTCTGTCCAATCTAATTAAAATTATTTGTTAGATCCACTTGCATACTCGCTACACAAACATCTAACAACATCTCATTGAGGGTCACGTCAGAGGTCAAATTCTAATCAACCAATCAAATTGTCTCTTGCAAAATCATTGTTTATTTGTTGACGTAATTGAAGAAAATAAGTCTAGGGTTGTTCCGAATTTGAACCCTAAGTGACCCTCTATAGGATGTTGTTAGATGCTAGTGTAGCAATTATGCGAGCAGATCTAACATCTAATTTTGATTAGACTGTGTCTCTGTCACTCTTCAATTTTTTTTCTTCAATCAAATTTTCCTTTTTTAATTCATTCTAGGAATGAATTTAATAGCTACCCAAGTTATACTGTATATCCTGGGTTGTGCCAGTTTTGGCATTCTATACAGCGAGGCTTTCATTTCAAAGCAGGTTACACTATTATAACTTGGATAACTATGAAGTTAATTCCTTATAATTTAATTCTCCATCAATAAGTAAAGAAAATAAGACAATTTTTCCTTCAAAAATGCATGCAATTAGTACATACATGTATCTTATATGTAAAATTAAATGGGTTGTTATGTTTGTGACATACATGTTAGTAATTGTGACTTAACCAACACAGGTTATACCATATGGCCACTACACATGTATGCTGGACACCCATTGATCTGATCAGAAAAGCTCTATTGCGCCTTTGGCTCATTTGAGCTAAATAGTGAGATTTAAACTGAATTTATATTGTTTACACACTCATTCATCATTTCCAGTTCCTTCTGCAAAGCATCAGACATAGACTCTGCAGCAATATCTTCAACAGCTCTGCCTATCTCTTTCTGTCTTTTGTCCAGCATGGCATGGCTTACAGGTGGTATATTCAGCTCAGAAAGGAGACTGTTGACTTGCATTGCACCAATACCAACATGTACAATTGCTGTAAATACAAATTCATAAATGTAAAAAAGAAATCAATCTAATCACTTTAAACAAGAAGCTTGTGAAATACAACACTCACCCTAGTCTCATTTATTTTCTCTCTTTATTACCAGAAATTAAGAATAGAACCCATACTTTTAACAAACTAAACCCCTAGGGGTTATGGCAACAAAACTTGACGGGCAGGGTTCGACATTAACGTTAGTCCGTTAGTCTCAGACTAATAAGTCTCGGACTAATACATTTTCATTTGGACTAATAAAAGTTGTGGCGTATTAGTCCGAATGGACTAATAAAGTTTTCTGGGGGAAAAAATTACCGAAGTTCTCGACAACTTTCACTGGAAAACCCGTATGTATTTTTAGCTTTCTTGCATCTTGGCGGAAAGTTATGTAATTCTGAGTCAATTCGGCACTTAATTTTAGGACTCATTGGAATGAAATTAAACATTTTAGGGATTATGATTTATTATGACTCACAAAGAAAGATGTCGGGCATTTGGATGTCGTAATCATTGATAGAGAATAATGAGATCGGGAACACGATCCTAGTTCCTGATCAGGCAATTTCAACAAATATTGGTATAAAACATTTCATGTAAACGCATGCTTTGTTTATTACAAAAAAGTATAAAAAGTACCTTGAAATGTAAATTCTATTGTTTAATTATATTTTTGACGGACTCATAAAATTGCCTGTGGACTAATAGAATTAAAGATGCACTAGTCCGGCTTGACCAACGCCGAAAAATGTTAGTGTCGAACCCTGGCGGGTTGGGCGCCAGATTCAGGCAGGGGGTCTGGGGGCCGCCTTGAGGCAAAGCCTTGGTGGGGGCCAAGGGGGCGAAGCCCCCCGAAGCTCTTGGATTCTAGAGGTTTTGTAGGGTAAAAATGAGGTCTACCGAGTAGACATCAGAAACATTTCCTTGACAAAACTATGTTTTATGCTAACTTTGACAATTTAAGGGGGGGTGCGCGCAGGATGTGCCCACCCTTAAATCCGCCACTGATTATATCAATTTATAGATACATATACCTATTTACTGGCTATGAGGACAAAAGCAAGTTTATTGTCCCCCAAGACAGCAACAATTTCTCAAGGTGCGTCCAAGTTGCTGTTGAGGGGGACAACAAACTTGCTTATATTGGAATAGACAGGTAAAACTCAATCAGGCTCTTGTGACTTGACAATAATAAATATACATGTAACTGATGTAGGGGATGTGTACGTTAAACTTCTTACCTGCTGATAGCTTTGTATTTACATCCCACACTCTTCCATGTTTTTTCCCCGTTTTTACATGGTTAATATGATTACACTTTGTATTGCTGCAACAGACCTGAAATGTTAATGTAAAATCAATGAATCCCTAATTACAGGTCACTGTTCTAAATTCATTCACCATTAATGAAATCAAATGCTTGGGAAAAAATAATTTAAATATGCATTACTTCAAATTACTTCAAAGAAAAAAATGTAACATCTTTCAAAACTAAAAATATGGATATATGGAATACTGCCTGTTTTATATGGAGAAAAATTCAAGGAAAAATCTTTCAAGGTTGTTTTTATACAAACTGTGCAAAAATTGGTGAGTTCATACCTTTAACAAAGAAGCTAAACCATATGTCAACACAGAAATAGTGTGTGAAAGTTGTAATGGTAAGCCACATTTACAACATCCCCGCAAGCCCTCAGCTAACACTCCAAGTTCTACTACTCTCCTCCCCTCCTTCCAATCCTCAGATGTAGTCACTTCTTCCCCATCCACCACCTCCTCTCTTTCCAGTATATTCAAATTTGGCAATTCTATGAATAATGAATAAAAATTATCACCATTACACATTCTTTATTATCTACTGTAACACATCCTGACTAGTTGACTGTTTAGATACACTTACTAAATTCCAAGAACCAGTTTTCAAGATAATTCATAGTGCCGATATACAACATATTTTTCAATATACCGATATTTCTCAAGATATTCTGAAATCAATCTAAAATATGATCTACTTTCTTTTACTCGACATTTGCTTGGGCCCCTGGTCATTCACATATAAACAGACGGTGTATGAGGTGCAGCGAAGAGTTGCATAGCATTTGCAAGATCTTTCAATATTTTAAAGTTGATTTCTTACTCCAGATTGTAAGGTTAAGTAGTCTGTATTAATAAGTTAAAATCTGCATCAACAACTACACCGCCATTTTGATTATGAATGTAAAAGAAGCTATATGGTTGAACAATTTTTTCCCGTAATGCATTATCATGATTATATACCTTTCTATTTTCAAAACAATTAGACCGCTAACATTTTGTTTGTGACTTAGTAAGATCATATGATCCAATTAAAGAAAAATCATGTAAATCTCAAATTCAAATGAGCAAATATTCATTGAGTTTAGAATAGACTTTGGAGAAAATTTGTCCTGTCGTTCCCGCTTAACAATTAGTGTTGGGCCCATTGGCAAGCTGATGTCAATTAAAAAAATTTAGGTCAATTTTGGAATTGATTTCATAATATCTTAAGAAGTATAAGGAATTACGGAATGAAATTTGAAGGAATGAAGATTGTTTATATATGGATAGATATGGATAAAAAGTAAATTTGTAAAGCATTCAATTTAAAAGAATTTTATTGGTGAAAGTAGGTACCCTATGTATATATATTGACAGTTGTATGGTGAGAACCTAGTAAGTTGTTAGAACTTGTGTTCAAACCATTTGTATAGTATTATACAATAAAATATGTTCAAACCAAACTACCCTATGAAAAGAGTTCCATACCTTTATTTTTTTTTAACACCTCAATTTTTTTTCTAAGTGATCTAAAGGCCTGTGGGTCAAATGAGTATATCTTTCATCACGTGCAGTGTATTAAAATAAAATACAGTAATTATCTTTGATTAGTATTGTCATGTAAGGTAAGACATCAGCAAATGTAATTTTTTTTTTTGTAACAGCTAGGCCTAGTATATATATATTTTATTGAAATCCACATATATAGGGGGTTCAGGTATAAATTTTCGGTGAAATATTTTCAATTAAATATATTCTAGCACAAACATGGAGACATTAAGAAATATAAAAAACTTGACTTGGTGAAAAAATTCCAAGTAGAACAGAAGTTATGAAATTATCAATGTTGTGAGTACTGCTATTTTATGCAAGAAAATTTCTATACATCCGAGTATTAAATGATGGCACATGAAAGGAAGAAAAATCCGTTAAATCTAGGTATTTTTTAAAGGATAGAGTCTAATTTTATTTAGAAGTAGGACAAACTATATATTTTCGGAAAGGTCTAATTGCAAGCCCTAATATTCTGTTTCTATGTCAGCTAAAAAATATCCAAGATGGCGGCAAAATATCCAATATGGCCGCCAATAGTAAAAATGGCCGATACAGTCTTATTGAAAACATACTTTCAAAATCCTTTGAGTTAAGAATAAATAATGAAATTTTATGAATTATTTACAATTTATTACTTTTAAAAGATTTATTAAAATAAGGATCGTAATAAAATATGGTCACTAAAAGTAATCAAAGAATTAAGAAAGATGTCAATATTATGAAAATATGGCAAAAAAAAAAGGAAAAAAGATTAATTCACAACTTTATTTTATTTACATAGATCTTTAAATACATATCAAATTTTCGGTTTCAATCAATAATTGTACATTTTATCCATGCTTCCTGGACAAGTTGAGTGTTAAGTTTCTCTCAGACTACTGCTACTACCGGCCGCGGGCGGGTACCATAATCATGATATGGAATGATTCTATAGCATTTTCCTGAAGTCTAACTGTATATACTCACTGAAAAAAAATTAACCACAAAGTATCATGTGCACAAACTAAATTATAGATGTTTTATAGTTATAAGTAAACAATAAACATATATTTTCTTTTATCACATTTGAAGTTCGGGTTATTCATTTATTATACAGACAGTATTTCAGAATTCAGAGGAAATCAGTACATTTATATCAGGGATCGTTAACTAGCATATATAGGCCCCTGTATATGTTATGTAGTAGGAAATGACCATAGTTTTCGAATTCATAGACTTTATTCCAATATGTCTGAAATTATTTAATCTCACATTTTCTATTTCACTTGTGGTTTTACGATACTTTGTAAAAGTGTGCATGAATATTTAAAGGTACTTAGAAACTGTTCAAAAGTTGCGTCGGGTTGACGTCTTTTGAATGAAATCCGGGTGAATTATTTTCTGAAATGATTACAGAACCACAATTTTCTGATAGGAAATTTTCTCAGCTTTCTAATAGTGTATGTTGCATAAAAATATTTTGATTACTTACCGTAGTAAATTTGACCTCTTTTCTTTGAAACGAAAATACATAAACTTCTGCACATTGCATCAAGATGCAACAATAACAATGTTAATCTTCACAATGTAAGCTTTCCTGTGATAGGTCAATGTCGTTAATTCCTTAAAAATCGCCTCCCGGAAAGCCAATCAAAATGACGCTATCAACGTCGCGGAGACAAAATTACAGTGCCATGCATCAAAAGGGAAACCCCGTATCCAATTTTAGCACAACTTCGACCCGGTTAATTTTCAATACAGACTTATTAGAATGACATAACACACACATCATACGAAAGTTCAAACAAAGAAGAAAAAAATCGTTATATTTAATTTCTAGATAAATATGAATACTAATGCAAAAAAGACGTTTATAAACACCGATAAATTGCGTGTAAATAGCATAATTACACAGGTAAGTCGGGTTACCTGAACCCCCTAACATATAACATCATGTATAGTTAAATTTATTATTATCAAATATGATTCAAATTTCCATGTTGCACTTTGATTACAATAGGCCATGTGGTTTTCAATAAAATACCCCCCCCCCCCAAAAAAAAATTATATTTTTAAAACTTTGTGTCAATCAGATGAGAACTTGTTTTTATCAAAATATATCTTTGAAAATTCAATTATATACTTGATAAAAACAAGTTTTCAATGTCTTAGTTATGTCATGTTGTTTTTCAATGAAATATTGAGAAAAATTCAATATCTTCTCTTTTGGTGCACATCTTTAACTATTATAATTTTTTTTTTAATAGCTACAGTACACGTAGTCATAGTTCAAAAAGTCTTTAGATTGGACCTGGTATATAAAATGAACATCAACAAATTCATGTACCTCCCTTTAATATTTCTAATATTTCTAATAGACCTATGTGTAATCATGGTAATTTAGATGCAGATATGAAAACGAGTCTTTTAGATTACGTATTTTACATGTACAAACCGTGATCGTGATCAACGCTGACAGGGGTTGCACTGGCGGAGTAATTGTGGTCTGTAAGGATAGCTCCCCTAATCCATCGAGTCAATTGCCCTGCAGATACTTTATCATATCTCTCCTTCTGCTTTTTCGAGACGAACCCATGGCGTCTGTACTTTGGTTTCACCATCTCAACCAAAGTTACCGCGCAGACCTTGACTTCTCGTCTGCTTTTTGTTTACATTATCGTAATCCGGTTCACATCCGCGAAATGTAAAATGCTTATTATATGTTTGTTTTCTGGCATAAAAAATCGTTATTATGTTACTTTCTATTGATGATGATTATAATTATTTGTAGAAACTTTTAATTCTCTGCCGTATTGAATTCTTTATTATAACGACATTCAGACCAATTTCCGGCAGTTCGAGTTGCGCGGTGAATTCAATTTCGTCAGAAGCGAAACACCTTAAACAAGGTAACCTTGCTCATAATAAATGTTTGATAAATACCATAGAGTAGATTTTAAAGCATTAATTCAATTTCAGCAATTATCAAAAAAGCCCCGCCCCAAATTCACAATTTTCGATGAGAGACCCTTCCTCATCATCGGCATAATACCCAGGAGCAGAGAAGATATTTGAATAATTAAATCATTTTTACTATATAAACACTAGAGCCTATCACTAAACCAGAACATCATATCACATTTCATCACCTACCTTCATGTTTTGGCTAAAACTTTGCTCGAAGTAAAGCGCTTCGAATCAAATATATACAATTACTTTTCACTAGTTTTTATGTGCATTCCGTTTGTTGATGTATGGTTTTAGACACATGTTGCAGTGTGTTGATATCATCATTTATATTTTTTACTTAAAAGTCCCTGATTTTTTAATTCCTGGACATATGTTATTATTGTACTGTTTATTGGACAAACCTCGTGAGAGGGCGAAAAACTACAAATTACAAAAGCACAATAAGAATTTGACAAAATATCAAAATCGAGAAATAATTATACAGAATTAGATGTGTAACTTTAACATGTAAGCTAAACAGGCCCATGCCTATCGCACGCTGGAAATGCGCGGTTTTACAAAACATTGTCACCCCTACTGTGTTCGGAACCTTTAATTTTCGGTGTTCTGCAAATTATAAAACCCGATGAGTTCAGAGTAGCTCTGGCAGTGGTTCTGGCGAGAGTTAGCGAGACTTTAGCGAGATGGGGTAAATTATTCACGGAAATGTGGCTAGGAAGTGACTAGCACGTGGTAAACAGAAAAGTTATGTTGCGTTTCAGTTTTCACTACCCTAGAAATGTACTTCAACCAATCGATCTCTCTTACATTCACTCAAACTTAAATAAGTATACTCTATATTAAAATTTTCTGCAGCCATGAATAAAAATTTCTTTTTGGACAAATATTTTTGCATGGGAACCGGGACTATATTTTTTGGCGTCAGATTAGTAAATGAGGCACCAGTATGATTTTAACTGACCAATCAGCCGAATGAGTATTGCATTATGGGTTACTACGAATACTACAGGGATTTTACGCTTGAAAAAAGGAAAATCTTATAGTAAATAAAAAGTATTTTTAAAAATATTATTTTCATGCTCATAATGACAAACAATTCATTTGTTAAATAAACGGTGGGAGTCTAGGATTCTGAAAGTCAAAAGCGATTTTCGTCTGTATTAATTCCTTTGTTGTACTATCGGTGAATACAATTGCCAGGTGGAATCCCTGACCGAACACGTGATCACGAACGTAAACAAAGTTTTGTCCATTTAAATGCATGAGATGCTGCTCGTTTTCCTTACCCTTGAAGCGCTGGTGTTCTGAACTTGACAATTTATAACTACGTATACATTTTATTAAGCATCTTTTTTCAGTTAACAACAAATTGAAAACGCCCTTTCATAGTTTCTTATCTTTGTATTTTGTTCGTACAGTTTTTTTTTTGTTTGCAGTCCATTGACATGATCCTACAATGAAGCGCATTGAAGTGGTAAAATTTTCCATTTGGATGAAACGTTCTGAGTCATGTTTTGAACGTCAACATAGCGACACGCCCATTTATTTAGAAACGAGAAAGAAATATTCGTCGTAATGTTTAGGGCACCCCGCTTTCCGCGACAAGCAACATGAGTTACAAAGAAATGATGATTTTTAAATTAAAATAAGTTATATATAGAGTTTTAGCTTCTGTAAAACAAGCATTGCAACAAATTTGTACATAATTATGATTTTATCATGTTTATTGGAGTTAGAATAACACATGTACGAGTCGAACACGTGCTTTCTCGGTGTTTATGTAGACCGTCAATTTGATTGGCTATTATATTAATAGAATACCTGTTCTGCAGGTTTTCGATTGAACCATTTGACCGATTTTTTCTTTCTAAAGAAATGGGCGTGTCTAAAGATAGCTCAAAACGTTCCATCCAAACAGAAAATTTTACCACTTCAATGCGCTTCATTGTAGATTGACCTGAACTTCGTGTTCGAAGTAAAATGTGAACATGTATTTGGTGTTACTGTAAACGTTGCTATTCGTTCAACGATTGGTTAGTTGCTCGTGGTAAGATCCTCTGTGCGCATTTACAACAATAGCCATATAAGGCAAACAAAGGTTTGCCAGTGTAGATGATAATACATATCTTTTACCAGCGAATCAGACACTAGTGAGCTCTTTTTAGTTTTGCCGAAAAGTATAAGATATATAATTGTTATTTTAACACCCCCTCCTTTAGTTACCCTTTTTCTGTTAAAAATTACGAAAGTCTTTCAGAAATGTCTGGAAACATTTATTTCAGGACATGTTTTCAAAAGGAACAGGCTATAGCAAAATCATGTTTACTGCCAATTTTTTTTTATAAAACCGGTTCTACCCTATAACCTTTGAATAGATCAACCTAAACCACGTGTCTTGAATTTAAATCACAATAACATTAGTAGGGGTGTGTAGGTACATGAATGTTCGAATCGGGTGGGGCGAGTCTACATATATTAATTTAAATCTTGACCGGTCTCCACATCCCACACTGGGATTCAAACCCGCGACGTAAGAATTAACTCCTCATAACGCGACTCTAGAACAGACATTCTTAATACTGCGCCATGTGTGCGACTAAAAAAGTCAAGCAAAGACTAAAAAATAGATTAAATCTAGTACAAGTAGCAAGGTTCTTTATAAACCAACAAAATCAGTTTTTATAATTTTAGCAATTGGGAAAAATAAATCTGGATTTCGCGAACTCCACTTTCGTCAATTTCCCGTCACCTAAAAATAAAAGAAGTGTACAAAAATAAAATGAATATTTTTTTTTTTTACTATCAATGGAGTTTTATGAAGAGACTTAGTTTTACATTCGACAGCTGACTTTTACATTTCAGTATATGGAGTAAGTCTCTGTTTCAGTTGTAGAAGTCAGTCAAAAGTAAGTCTCTTCATAAAACTCCATTATGAGATATTAAAAATAATTGTTTTTTCACCATTAGTATCATCTAATTGGAATGTTTTGTCTGTTTTCATATCAACATGAAATTGCTTCAATTTCTCGTGAATTTCCCTCAGAGTAATGACACCATCGCCATTTCAATCCAACAGTGTAAACGTTCAGCTATCGCGCTTACAGGACTGTAAAAAAGAAAGTAATTTTGTAAGACGTTCTAATCTTATAAATAAAAATGACGAGTAGGAGATCAAGATTCGTTGTCGGTTGCCTGCTACTCCATATTCCCAACATAAATAAGCTCAAGATTACTGTCTGTGAAAATCTGTTAAAAATGCACCATAAGGTCAAATGCTGACTGAAATTCTTCTGAATCATATGTATACCTGTGCTTATTGTTAAGCCATTAATACCGGTAGTTTACGGATATTTCCGTTCACCCGATCATGAGTTGACAAGAGCACACGGCGGGTGTTAACTGTCGGCAGGGGATGGATACTCCTCACCTTACTGAACTTAAAATTCCCTGATATTCTGAAAAATCTCTGATAAACTCTGTTACCCCTGCACTGTTAAAGTTCTGCTTTTCTCTGTTTAAAGGTACTTGGAAACAGATTTGAAGTCAATATTTTTTCCTATAATATTACAGCTTATATATTTTAATAGCATTTCACACAAAAATTAATAACAAATTATTTCATTTAAAAGTTATTAAAACTTCAATTTTTTTGGCGGGTTTGATTGACCCATACTTGCATTTTCACAAATTTTAACCTTATTATTAATCCTTAGGAAAAGTGGCAATCTTGCTGTGTATTAATGAGAAATATTAAAACTTTTATCCAGAAAAATATTTTTATTCAGAGTAGAAATATTAGAAAGCAAAACTCCTTCACAAGTATCGTCATTCCGAACTAAGAGTTGCTTACTGAGTTTAGCAAATCGAACACACTTATGTACACGGTTTTTGTAAATAGGACGCGAGTTCTGTTATTGTTGATGTTTACAATTCAGCGGGTGCGTTCAATCGCCACAGTCTGCTTACCACAACTACACGGACTGACAATATATTGTGTGTTTGTTGTGCTTTCGAACATGTCTACTATGAATTTCTGGCTTATAGTATTGATATATTTTTCATTTATACACAACGAATTAATTAATCATTTGGAGTATTTTTTCTTTCTCCAAGTCTTCAACTATAATAGCAAACAAGCAAGAAAGGAAGTAAATTAAAAATGATTCTTACAATGGTAGGCCTAGGATTTTTTTTTTATTTCGCCTACATGTACAATGGTATCAAACTTGTCAGCCTAGAAGGTGGAACTTTAGCTCCCTTGGAGCGGAAATCAGACAAATAACCCTGAATCTCCAGGGGCAATTTTTTCTGTTTGAGGAGCACTGTGCTGTTCAAGTTCCTTAACGCCCCCTCCTTCCAAAAAAAAGAAGAAACACCCCTTTCTCTTTTATTTATTTGATTTAAAAGAAAAATTAATTAATTTTAATCAATTTTGAATTAATATTTTATTGATGCTCTTTTAGTATCCTCTGTAAATGCTAATAGTTCATCATATGTTGTGTCAACTTCATGATCATTTGAAGAGTAATATACTACAATTTATCTACTATTATCTACTATTTATCTCAGATTAATTTGAACCAGAAGTCTCTGTCGAGACTGTAGCTCTACTTGTTTGTACTTATAACAAAGGATGAGAAAAAGAGCCATTGCCATCATACCAAAACTGTAGAAAAAGTAGCGTTTTAAA